TGTTCCACCATGACTCATGGCTTCTCTTGGAGCCTCCCATTCACTATAAACACCAGGCTTTTGATTCTGAATTACTGAGGGTTTTACTATATTGGATAAACTGGAACTAGCAGTAACTATAAAACGTTACACTTTCTAGGTAGTTTAATATCTAAGGGATTTTAATAATGTTTTCAAGCTAAATATTTAAGCTTTTGAGACCAAATTTGTCCAAAGTCATAGAAATAACACTGTCAAAACCAGGAGCTTACAAGAGCACTGAATAATGTGAGGTACTATAGACATTGACCTCATTAAGACACTAGATTAGATTCTTACCTTTTAAGTATTCAAATTTCACGACAGCTTAAAATTTGAGATGTGATTCTTATCTGACATGGTTTTATAATTAAATGTAATTGATTTCATTCTGATGAGACATTGCAATTAATACTCTATAGGACCTCCATGTACTCCCATGTTGCCTTTCAATTTCATTTATTTCAAGAAAACTCAAAAGGTCTATAACATTGGCAACTGGCAGAAACAATCCATGAAAATCTGGGAACTCCTCATATACAAGCTGTCAGAGTAAGGTGTGAATGTGTGTGCACAGGTGCCCAAGCAGAAAATGAAATACCCCAACTATGAAGCAGTCCTGGGCTTCTGAAAGGAGCTGTGCACTTGGGAAAGCCCAGGCATCGGGGCAGGTGGATGTATGCTATAGACACCATAGCAGCCCTAACCCCATGGCTGGCCCATCTCCAGCCTCTGATGATGTTTGTTCTGCTCCATCTGAGCTGGAGTCTGGTTCAGCCACAATGAACTCTATAGTCTTTGCTACACATATGTTTTTGTCATTAAGCATGTCCTTTGTTTTCTTTTGCTTTTTTAAATAACATTAGCACTCAAATAAATAAGAAAATTGTAGCAGAATACCAATTAAAAATGGGCAAAAGACTTGAACAAGCCATCCTTATAATTTTTTCTTATAAGCATGTCAAAATTGTAATCAGCATTCTTAGTAATCAAAGAAATTAAATTTTGAAAAATATAATTTTCACCTACCAAGTTAGCACAGAGTTTTTAAAAGATGATATCATGTTGGTAAGTACTAGATGTTCTAAGCATCAGGTCTACATTCGGGGGTAGGAGGTGCTGGGGGAGGGGGGAAATGCCACACAGCTATACAAACCAAACCTAGGCATAAGGATGTACATCAGTTAAAACAGCAATATACTGGAAATAAAATAAAAATTCAAAAATAAACGCATGGTTAAATAAATAATTAAGTCATCCATAAGATGAATTATTTTACAGTCACTAAATTATATTAAAAATACCAGCTTCAATTTATTGGGAAACACCAATAAAATGTTATTAATTTTTTTAAAAGCAAGTATGAAGTTCTACAATATGATTCTAACTCTTCAAAAAAAAAAAAAAGTCCATTTATACATAGAATACGAACTGGTGGTAAACTACCAGTCTTTTCAATAGCAGTTCTTAAGGCATGGGGTTGGGATAATTATAAGTACTCCATCCATGCTAGACACATGCTAGGAGGTGGGTCTTTATCTCTGTTGTATATCTGAGGAAACTGAGGCTCACCGGGTCTTGGTGACAAAGGTATTAAATGGAGGAGCCTGGGCACAAGCTAAGGTCAGCTTGACCCAAAGCATTCATCACATCATGCCTCCCCACAGGTAATTTAAACTCTCAGGTTTATACAATATTTCACTGGTTCAAGGGGATTTAAAATCAGCACATATCGCTTTTATAATTTGAATCAACAAAATAAAGGTTATACTAAAAATACTATACATAGTCACAAAATGACAATTCTAAAAACCGTTTCCTCAAAAGATGTAGGACCGTGAACACAATCTTTAAGATCACAAACTAGTGTGTTTGAGCATTCTTTAAAAAAAATACATTATATAATCCTAAATCTTGGAAAACTTTTGTGAGCCTTGTAAATTGTGCAAAATGTATTCATTTAAGAAATACTTATTGCCCTAACCGGTTTGGCTCAGTGGATAGAGCATCAGCCTGCAGATGCAAGGGTCCCAGGTTCGATTCCGGTCAAGGGCATGTACCTTGGTTGCAGGCACCTACCCAGTAGGGCGTGTGCAGGAGGCAGCTGATCAATGTTTCTCTCTCATCGATGTTTCTAACTCTCTATCCCTCTCCCTTCCTCTCTGTAAAAAATCAATAAAATATATTTTTTTAAAAAAGAAATACTTATTGAACACCTGCCTTTTGCTAGGTATTGTGCTAGGTGTTGGCACAATGGAAGGAACAACTGTCTAAATGACTTTCTCTGGATGTTAGGAAAGTCTTTGAGGGATGTGTAGAGATGGAGAGAGATAGGGAAGAAGGTACCCATCAATGTCGCCCTAGAAGTTCTGGCTACCCACATCAAAGGATTGTTTTAGTTTTTAAGCCTTCCACAAGAACTCATAATATTTCTGAGGATCCCAGACATCCCTATGGAAACATCATAGAATTTTAAACCTGTAAGTAAATGCATTCATACCTAAACTGACCAGGTAAAATAAATGCTTTTTAATCTCACACAGTGTTATTCTCCTCCACAGGGTATACAGTGGTCCTGAGCACCTACATTTCTGGGTGGTGCAATATCTTCACTGGACTATCCGGAAAAGGATTCTCAGCAGAAAGGCAGTTGGGAGGAGTCCCATCGCTTGTGGCTCCATGAGTCTTTGTCCGAGCCCACCTTCTTCTCTAGAAAAACCCAGGCCTCTCAGCAGATTGACTCCTAATGCTATGGCCACTGTCTCTGCAACTGTAGGCCACGAGGTAAGTCAACTAGAATTTTTATGGATTCGGATTTAGCTTCGGCTGATACAATAAGGTCAAGTTAACTCTCCTTGTTAATTCTGTCCCATGGGGACTAAATACCAAGGAATGGCCCAGGAACTGGAGCCAGAGAGGGTAGAAATTGGCACAACAATTTATGTTCTTTGTTCTGTGAATCAAGGGGTCTGGTACTGTTTCAGACTACGCATTCAAGAAGAAGGATGAGTGCCCATGGTTCTGAGATTGGGTGTCACTGCCATGGAGATTCGTCTTATTTAATAAATGACACCATCCAGTGACTCTGAATAGTAAACACTGGTTTTTGTTTCCTCATCTCCGAAAATCACAAATAAATGACCCTCCCATAGTTTCTCTCACTATAGTTTTTAAGACTATAAAAACAGGGAACAAATGGACTCTCCCACAAGTATGCTAATTACTGTTTTAGTTCATGCTAACAGAAGAAATAGCTTAATAACAGTAACTTAACTGGAGAAGGTCGCATCTTTCATTCCTTTGAATTAATGAATACCAATCACCTTTTCATTAGATTTTAGTGCTATAATGTATATTTCGTGGATAACTACTACCATTACCACAAAGAACTTTAGAAACACATATTTACTTGAAGTGTTTCAGAGTTTCAAAATTCATACACAGAGTGTCTAGCAGCTATGAAACTAGGAGGAAAACATTCTTTACCAAGAGGAAAAAGCGTTTCTCATTTCTCCAATTACGTGATTTTCTTCTGAAGGGCTCATCACCCAGCAAAGCCCACATGAATGAATGCCGGAAATGCGGAGGACATCCAGTCTGAGAAATGCTTGTTCTAGACGGGAACCCCACTAGGAGATTTCTCTCCGTTATTTGCGATCGTTATCCCAGGATGGAAATGACCTCGCCGGAAAACAATTAAAAGGTGGACACAGCTATGGGAAGCTTGCAAAGTTCTCTAGACAAGCCTTCCAGAGGCTCTTAAAAAAGGGGAGCATTTACCAAAGGGTCATGGAGGGTAGGAAAACTATGCCAGGAGCCCGGGGCAGCCCTGCCAGAGGGACTCAGATGGTCCCAGGTGAGCGGGCTGGAGGCGGAGGGCGCAGGGCGGGACCGGGCGCCGCGGGCATCTTTTTGGGCCGGGCGACCCCTGCTCTGCCTGCGGGCGCCCTGAGACTCGGAGGAGGGAGCGGGCTGCCCGGGACGCGCTGGCGGCAGCCTCGGGTCGCGACCAGCATCGCAGTGACCGCGGCTTTCCGAGGCCAGCGTGGTCCCTCCGCCACCCTCGAGCCCTCCCTCCGACATCTTTCACGGAGCCGGGGAGGTAGCAAGAAGGGGTGGAAGCCGCTACTGTCTGCGCCCCGCCTCGGCCGCAGCACAGGGAGAGCAGAGGGCGAGGGAGCTGGCGAGGAGGCAGCTAGGAAGCGGTGATCCATCGACAGGAGAAAGGATCGCCATCACCCACAGCCCGGGGGTCTCGGGTCCACCCACCCGGGCAGGGCAGCGGCTGGCGTTGGGTGGGCGTTCCTCCGCCTGGTCCCCGGGCGGCTGGGAATCCACCCCTAGCAGAGCCCGCAGGCGCTCCTTCTCCATCCGCTCCAAGGAGGGGAAGGAACAAAAGGGACCCTCCACCCCGGCACACACGGATGTCAGATGCTCGGGGTATATGCGTCCTGACAGCCTCCCTTTTACACCTTCCTCACCTGAACAGTGCATTTCCCCAAAGGTGAAGAGAGGAAAGAAAGAAAAAAAATACCGCCCAAGCTGATCGGTCGCTTGGACACTGTTAATTTCACATTCGGTTCTAACCACCACCAGGAACATCCCGCAGGACCTCGCGCCCCCCGCCCCCGGCCCGGCCCTCTCCCCCGGGGCCCAAAGGAGCCCAGCTCCCCTCTAGGGGCCCTGCCGAGGGTTCCCAGGGCGGGCAGGACGCGCGCCCGGCCTCCCGCAGCACCCGGGGGGGGGGGGGGGACGCAGCGAACCACGCGACGCGGGATCCAACTTCCCAACCTGCGGCGCGGCCCCTGCTCCCCGCCCGGGCGCGGCGGCCTCCCGGCTGGGGCAGCGGCACCGGCCCTCTCCGCCCCCTCGTGCCTTCATCGCCCTCCCCCCCCACCTTTACCAAATGCATCCATTGGTGCAAAGCAGACATTTTGCTGTCATTTACTTGGCGCCGCTTGGCCGCGGAGGGAACATCTTACCCGGGCGCCTGGCGGTGCGGGCAGCGCGCGGGGAGCTCCGGGAGCGCGAGGCGGGGCGGCTCGGTCCTCTAGCGGAGCCTGCTCGCTGCCATCCGTCCAACTTCAGCACCCGGCGGGCAGGAGAGAGCGAGCAGGCGAGGATGCAGGGGAGGCGGGGGGCGGGGGCGGAGGGAGCGGTGGGCGGGGAGGGAGCGGGAGCCCTCGGCAGCGCGCATGCGTCCCGCGAGCGCTCGGCCCCGCGCCCGGCTGGGTCCGTGGGGCCTCTTCTCCCCCCGCCGCGCCCCGCCCCGCCCCTCCCGCGTGGGGCCGCGTGAGTCACAGCCCCGCCCCCCGGACGGCCCGGCCCCCGCGCGCTCCCCCGGTCCCGCGCCCACGGTGCGGAGGGTCTCGGTGGGGCTTCGGCCCCCGGAGACTCCGGTCGGAGCTTCCCCGGAGCCTGGGAAGCCGGGGAGTCCTCCTGGATGAGAGGCGCTGGCGCCCAGGCTCCTCCAACTTCAAGTTCGGCCGCAGCCCGAGTAACCCTGTCCTGCGCTTTGGGGGTGCCTGGAACCGGAGCGCGTCTGAAGGGGCAGAACGGCAGCGGGTCCCGGGGGCGCGGGGCGGGAGGGGCGCCGAGAACATGGGAAGCGCAGCAACTCTTGCCGATCGGAGGCCGGGCTTTAGGGAGAGTTCTTCACTTCGTGGGCGCCCTCGCCCAGAAGCCGGACATTTCCCCGAAGGTTTAGTTTCAGGCCCCCTCTGCTCTGGGGCACACGCGGGGTTTCCGGCGTGTGGACCGCTGCAGCCAGAGTCCTGACAGAGGGGGGGCCGTGCCCAGGCGAGCGTCTTGCATGACTGGCAGGTGCTGGCGCTCGGGGCCTGGAGCATCCTTCAGGGACGGGGACCGCCCGGGCGCTCACGTCTGATAACTGTTCCCTTCACAAGCCGAGCCTCGCTGGGCGGCGAAGGCGCTTTGGCTACTTAATGCATCCTGAGCGCTAGATTGCATCTCCCGTGATTAGATTCAAGTGTTTGTGAGGGAGAATTACGGAAGCAAGCGGGTGTCACTCTTCGGATGTGTCATCTGTGGGAAGAGGAGTGAGTTCCTGGCAGGAATGATTAGGCTTTTTTTTTTTTTTCCTTATATCTATTTAGAACTGATCACTCGTAAATAGATAGGATTTTCCCTTGCTTGTGCGCTCATGCATTCGAACAGCGTTAGGGTTACTTCAGACTCCTTTAGTGACCATCCTTCTGCACGCACCCCCCCGCCCCATCCCCCTTGAGTTCAGTATGTCTCAGGGTTTGCTCGGGGGGCCTCCTTTCTCTAGTTACATGATGAGTCCTAGTGCTCTTCAAAGTGTATTTCCTGAACTGGTGTCGGTCTGCAAATTGTTCCTTACTGGTCTGTAATGAGAGATAAATGCAAGAAACGGAGAGGAGCGTTGGAAACGGCCCTAGCGATTTGACATTGCCTGGGCATCGACGCACATTAGTCCCTTGTACTTTGTACATTTTATTTTGTTTGTAAAATAATTCGTTTTTGTTGGGTTTTACAAAAGTGTTAGCCCATGATGCATTCAAAATAAAAGCCCGTCACCAAAAACTGTTTAGCGGCACTGAGTTCTACAAAGCTCCCAGATGTGTATCTTCTGTCCTGATCTCTCACAGAACTCTCTTATGTCCTCAATACCTTTGCAACTCTGCATGAAGGGTAACTATAATAGTTAATATTGAGTGAACAAGTACTGTGTGCTAGGTAGTGACCTGTTTTGCATACGCTGTTTTATTTTTGCTTCAAGGTGGATACTATTATTATGTGTAGCAGGCAGCACAGAAGCAGAACTCCAGTTATCCACCTCCTCCAAACCTGTTCCTCTTCAAATTGTTCCACCTGGTTACTCAAGTCAGAAATTTAGGCCACCCTTCTCTCTCTCTCTCTCCTCTCTCTCTCTCTCTCTCTCTCTCTCTCTCTCTCTCTCTCATTAATTTCTTTTCCAATGATAGTTGACATACAATGTAATATTAACTTCAGGTTTACAACATAGAAATTCTTACTTTTCTTTCTTTCTTTACCCCCACATCCAATTAATGTTTTCTCTTTCTCCAAAATATATCCCGATTCATCCACTTCTCCCCTCTCCATTGCTATAACCATGGTCCAAGAGCTCTGTGCTCTCACCTGAACGACCACACAAGCCTTCAGATGGTCTCTCCTCCACAGTCCGGAGCAACACATTCTCTAAACAACAGCTGAGTGATCTCTTAAAAACATAAACAGATCATGTCATGCTTCTGCTTAAAACTCGCCAATGAGTTTTCATTGATTTTACATATAATCCCTAATTCTATCCACAGCCCAGAGGCTCTACAAAATCTTGTCCTTGCCTTGTCCATGCTCCCGTACACCACAGGTATGTGTGCTGTAGTCACATCTGTCTATTTCTTTTACTTTCTTGAATTTGTTTAGCTTATACTTGCTGTTCTTTCTGTCTTGGAATCCTCTGTGCTCACATCTCTCCATTGTAGGCTCCTTAATATCCTACAGGTCCCTGCTCAGATATCACCCATTCAAGCTTTATTTGTTGTTGCTTTTTAAATATATTTTTTATTGATTTCAGAGAGGAAGGGAGAGGGAGAGAGGGAGAGACTTCATTAATGTCTACTATATGCCTGGTATTATGTCTTCAAGCTTTTTGCAAAAAATATAAATGTTGTATAAAATTACTATATATGACTCAGGAGTGGATTTCCGTTCTCTTTGTGCAGAATTTCAGAGCTCACTGGGCTTCTGGTCCTTGAACAGCTGTGTGGTAACTATGAAAAGCAGCATTTCATCACCATCATTTCCATGCCATTATGAACGTGTTTTTCAAGTAAAGAGAATCTGCAGCAGATTTTGGTGTAATGAATTCATAGTAAGGCACATAGGAGAGTTATAGGCAAGCTATTTGCAGACAGAGATATTGGAAAAGGACAGAACATCGAAATATTTACAGTGCATTTACTCATAATTCGGGATACTTGTCATCATGAAGAGACCTGAATCTACCTCAGTGAGTTTGGTACCCTTGAAAAGTTATTTCAGGAAGATATTATGTAGCATCTTTTACATTTCACTTCCTTCTTTTCTCACATGCTCATTTTAATAAAACAACAACTGAGCGACCTTTGGAAAGCAAAGGGAGAACAAAGAAATTTGTTTGAAACTAGGAACCCCTAACTGCTTCATCCAAGCAAATTTCTCCAGAGTGGAGCATGAAGGGATAATTAAAACATGACTGTTTAAACACACTTTTTCTTTACTTTTAGAAACAGGGCTTATCATGTTTCTTCAACTGGCTTTAATCAAACCTTTAGAGACAGACTTTTCTCAGGGAACTTATTTAGATGGAAAATGCTTGTGTTTCCTCATCAATATTTGAAGAAGGTAAGAGAAAGGAAAGAGAAGGTAACCTGCCTCCAAAATATATAAAATGAGTTTCATATTTTATATGTGATTTATTTTTCTAAATATATTATTGATTTCAGAGAGGAAAGGAGAGGGGAGAGATAGAAACATCAATGATGAGATAGAATCATTGATCGGCTGCCTCCTCTATGGCCCCACACTGGGGATTGAGCCCTCAACCAGGGTATGTGCCCTGGCCAGGAATCAAACCTGGACCTCCTGGTTCATAGGTCAATGGATCTTGCATATTCACATGTTTTTAACACATCTTTCACATAATAAATAATGTGATTGGACAATAATTCTCTGCTATGTCTTGAAAAATAACAAAATGTTTATCTTACCCTGGAGAAGGCGATGCTCCATTATTACAGTCAGATGCTTTGCGGATGGAGGAAGTTACAGAATTTAAGGGCCCAGGTTATATTATGTTGAGATTGCTGAAGGTTGTGGGTGAGAATAGCTGGACTGTGGAACAGGCGCCTGCCTTATCAGACCTGCTTCCAGGGTCCGATGGAAGGAAGGGTGGAGAGAGGCTGAGGTTTGATTTCACAATAGTTTCTTGCACCTTTACTATGTTTGGGTTCATGGCAAAGCTAGTTCGGAGATGTGTAAAGTTAACACAGATCTTTGTGTGTGTGTGTGTGGAGAGGGATAGTTTGCTAAAGATGTCTAGCATCTAGAAGGACCCAGCTGACTAATTTTTGAGTTCCGTATCGAAAGATCCTTAAGTTGCAAATCTGAAGATTCATATTCACATTGCGAAAGTGGTGTTAAAGGTTCTTTGGTTTCTTGATTTTCTGTGAACCAGTTTCACATTGTGAATATGTTATAGGCTCACAAAGGAGTAAGTCTTCATATTCAAATTTTAGTAGAATTTACCTAAGGCTGAATTCCAGCTTATTTAAATTGCATCCATTCAGACATTCAGCAGCGCACTTAAACAGCTCTTAGAGAGTGTCTGTCCTGGCAGTGTGGGGAATAACAATACACTGGAAAATCTGGCTACCATCTTTAAGAATTTATAATCCAAGTGAGATGGGCTTTATATACATGAAAGTAACCAGAAGAGATCAAGGAGAGCACTTGAGATAATGTGGTATTTTCTTTTTTACCCCAGGTGGGTAGGCCAGAGAATGATAAAAAATAAAATAAAACCATTGGTTTTATAATCAAAACTCTAAACTGCACAGCATAAAAATTACAAATGATCAAAGTGGCCTTTTGAAGTACACACTGAGACCTTTCTTTGTATTACATGGAACTAGCTTTGAATGGCTTTGCAGATTTGTAAAGGGATTCAAGGAAGGAGAGATTTAGAATATAATATTCAAAGAGGAAGTTATTGTTACAGTTTTACTTGACAGCTACATAGAAAATATTAAGCACCTTCAATATGCAAAGTGTGTGCAGGGCTCTGAGAACACTGCTTAGATGAATCAGAATGCAAGGAATAGTGATGAGTAGCATAGAATCTAGAGAAATCATGCTCAGCTCAGTGGTGATGGATGAGCATGGCCCTCTGACTGGTCTGCAAAGAATGGGGCCCATTTGCATATGGTGAGATGTTTGGAGCAGAAATCTAACCCTATTATCATGATTCTGAGTTGGTTCCATGGGAATTAAAGGATACGCATAGAAAAACTTGATCAGTATGGCTTAGTTATATAAAGTTAAGTTTTAAATGTAGATTGAGGCTACATTGTGGTTGGGGGTAC